TTTCTTATCTCTTTCTCCATGTTTTATTTTTGCTTTGTTACCATGATTATAAGTAACTAATTTTCTTTTACTAAGACACAATGTATTCTAATTATTCAAAGCTTAGTTATGTCATGCTATTAGAATTTCCATATTGTTGAAATTTAATCACTGTGCTTATTTTCTTAACTAATGATCTTGATGCTTAGCTACCATCTAGATTTTTGGTTAAGTAATTTGATGCATGTTAGGGTATACGCCATGCCTAATATGAGTTTTGCTTCTTGTGATTAAATTCATGAATGCGCATAAGGTAAACACCATACTCTTAGGGGTTTGTGTGATTGTGTGAAGTTCTCATTGAATGTAAAGTCTTTTTATATGTGTATATTTATGCCTCACGCCAAGGATAAATTGCGTGTAAGAAGAAGTAGTTAATTGTTGTGAAAAGAGTTAATCATAATTTTGGAGAACTAATCATCAACATAACTTGGGAATTTTGATAGTATGCATGCTAAGGTTCGGATAAGAGGAATTGTGGTAAAATTGTTGTCTTAGTAAGCTTCTTTAAACTCTTTCACAAACTTATTTAGTTCACGTTTTTCTTCGTTATCTTGTCTTTTAATTTTCTTATTTTCAACGTTCTTTTAAAGAAAATCTTTCAAAACCAACTTTCAAAACTCCTTTATTAAGTTTTGTTGAGTCATTAGTTTTAAGTTTATTAGTTAGGGTGTCCAGAGTAATTTAGGATTTAGATTAGTTTATAATTCACAACAACTTGAGAATTTATTCAGTCTCTGTGGGAACGACCTTGTACTTGCCTTGGCTATATTGCATTAATCTTGTGCTCTTGCAAGTTTATTTCTTGAATTTAACTATCTAATTTTCAGGTAATAAAATTATACATCACTCCCCTACCGTTGTATCATGTATTGGTACATAGGACAAGAGCTCGTGGATGCTTGAGCTTTGAACCTTCTCTTCCAATCTTTGCAGCTGCAACACAAATAACATATAAGAAGTATGCTTTTTGTAAAACTAAACCTAATACAATTGCAAAAGTTTGAGTTTTCTGAGTATGAAGTGCTCAAGAATCCTTGAGTCTTTATTGGGCTAATTTGATGCTTTCTATTTCTAAAAATGGTAGTAGTGGTGGAGGAAGAGGAAGAAGAAAGGGCCCTAAATTGAAGAAGAGCCTAGGTGGTTGATAGGGATGGTAGAAATCCCCGTTGGGTTGGGTCCCCGGCCATAACGCGGGGAGATTTTGGGACAAAACAGGGATCGTGTACGGGAATCCCTGAATTTAAAAAATCCTCATCAGATATGGGGCAGGGATGATATTGGCATCCCCATCTCCGAACCCAGCCCAATATATAAACACTTAAATAATCAATAAACTTAATACTTCCCATTCCAGCAATAAAAAAAATAGAACTAACGACCCTAACACTTATTGTGTGACATTTGCTTTCACCCTCTCTCCTTTTTCTTTCCTTCTTACATCGATGTATCTTCTCTGCTTATTCTTCTTTTCCACCTCCTCTTCTCTTCTTCTTCTTCTTCTTTGCCATCTGCAACTGATAATCCTCACACCAATCAATATCATAGTTAGTTTGATGCCAGCACTCGTAGATCTGTAGCAACTGGATATGATCACCCTTGCCAAAACCATCAAGAATGTCCAAATAATCATGTTTCTTCTCAGTATTGTTGCTACAAATAGAGCCATGCACAACTAAAATTATCTAAAATGAAATATTCATACTTCAAGGTAAATTAAAGACTTCAGAGGTATGCAAATCTTTAGCTATCCGTGGGAACTTATGTGTGCATATTTAGTTTCACTTATTGTGAGATGTGTCAGTATCTTTAGACTAAGAACACAATGCATGCTAGGAAAATACTAAGATCCCTAGAGAAAGACCCACTCAGAGCGCCATGTGAGGCAAATTCTGACCAGAAATGACCTGTTGTTGCGGAGCTAAAAGCTTGTTGATGCCGCCACTTTTGAGTAGTTTTTCAACGCCTTTTGGCAAAAGAAAAAATAAATAAAAGGAAGACCTCATGCCATGGTTTTTGTCGGAAAGGGTTCCTCTCACTCACTCATACAAAACCCCTCCAAAGAACCACTCAAATGTGCCACAGTTTATGGCGAATCAAGGTCGTGAAGTTTCGAAGCCCTTGTTGGAAAGCTCAATTTTTCGGCCAATTTAGCCATTTCCAAGTGAGGGTCCAATAACCAAAGTTGCTCTACTCGTTGCTCTTGTCATTTTGGAATAGGTGGCAACTGACAATGTGAAGTTTCGGAGAGGCCAAAATTTACTCAAGCCACCCACTGCCGCTAGCTATTGTACTCATTGTCTCAAGCATGACTGTATGCTCAGATTCACGAAATTTGATTGTTTGACCGGTGATCAGAATTTCGCCTATTATGGACCAAAGTTTCTATGATTGTAAACCTATAAATAGGTGCTAATCAAAGATGAATGATACAAGTTACTAAAACAAATTTTTATTGTCTTTCTGTTCCTTTTATTTCTCTCTACAATTTCCCTTAGTTATATAACAATTAGCTTATTGTTGTCATTGGAATTCAAATAGTTAGGTATTTATCTAATGTATTCTCTAAGTGGTTGGACTAAAAGACATCTATTTGGTTTCGAACCAAAAAAAAAAAGGGATTACAATACCTTGGGAGCATGTTCTTGTTCCTCTAAGAGCCTATATTATTATTATTATTATTATTTTTAGAAAGGCGGCATTATTTTATTGAGGAAAAAATAAAGAACAAGTAAAAAAAACTGCTTAATTAGAGTGAAAATACACCTAGGCCTCATCATTTGGCCCGCGGGCTCATGGGCCGATGGGGGACAGCCCAGCCCATCGAGTAATAGCCCGGCCCAGTCCATTATGGGCTTTGGGATGGCCTAGCCCTCATTGGACTTGGGTGTCTGAAGCCTAGTCCGGCCCAGTTAAGCCCTAGAAAAGCTCGGCCCAGCTCGCCCACAAAATCCTGGCCCGTTAGGCCCACATACATATATAATTATGTATAAATAAGGGTTTAGGATTATGATTATATCACTTGAATCACAAATCCCCCCTCTTTCATTTTTGTGTGTGTGTTACTTGTTTGAAACATTGTGTTTGTTTCCACTGAATTCTGCTCATTTTCGTATCCATTTTTTATATTTGGTCCACGCTATGTTCTTCATTTTTCTGTGCTGAATCCAATCATATAAAGAACACAAAATGTGCATAAACAGTTGAAAAGTTATAGGTCAAAAACTGAACAGATGTCGAAATTGAAAAACAAAGGAAGTTCATAATTCATCTCTACCTAAAACGTGATAAACTGGTGCTACCATACTGATACAGTGGTGATAAAGGGGTGATAGAAATTGATGTTTGTGTTTATTTTGGGTTTCTTGTTTTGTTTCATTTCATTTACTTTTCTTTACTCATTCCTAGTTTATAATTGGATGATTAGCACATTAATTTGTGTCAATTATTAATACAACAATTATATAAATCAAGAATAAGACGAACGCCATATCATATCACCAAACATAATCATACTACCAAATATAGTCATACTTTTCTTGAACCCATCACCAAGCATTTGCATATTTATTCATACTATCCTTTTTTTTATAAATATTTTTTTGATACTTATTATTTTTTAAAATTATTTCTTAAAACGTATTACGGTCTAATTATGATGCAACTGAGTGCCTCTTTTTGAATGACACATTATTTCTTTCTCCTCTTCTTCTTCTTCTTTTTGAATGAAGTACGCTCATTTCGGCCCGGCCCATGAGTCGGGCTTGGGCTTTGAATTTTCTAAAAAAACCCAACCTAGCCTGGCCCGTTATTTTCTCTCTCATGTTTGAAGCTTGGTCTGACCTGTCCTAAGTCCATTAAATTTGGGCCGGGCTAGCTCGGCCCACTGACGCCCACTGACGAGCACCTATGAATTCTTGGTCTTTCTCTATTGTCATGTTGTTTATTTTATAACAATATTTCACTATTCTTTTTAAAAAAAAAAAAAAAAAAAAAAAAAAAATTTTCTTAATTATAAATGTTGGTTAGGTCAGTGGACGTAGTTTACCTGCCCCTTTGTGGGAATTCAAATAATTCTTTTTGTAAATTAGAGTAGTTTAAGATAATTGCCAAAAAGAAAATACTCATTTTCTTAACATCATTCCCCATATAAAAATAAAAATAAAATGTTTAAAAATACACGAAGACTATTTTGGAATATCAATGACAAATCTTATAAGAAAAACAAGAAACTTTTACACAAAATTAATTTTTTACACTGAAAAAATAATTAAATGTGATCATAACATAGCCACATAATACTACTAATTTACGTCTTATAACATTATTGAGTCACATAGTGGATTGTAGTCTTCAAATTGAGTAGCACTAGATGAGTCATTACAATTGTCGCCGCCATGTGTCAAATAGAGCAAAGGATATACTTTTGTTTATTCATAAAATAAAACAAAATAATTATCAAAACCCAAACCTCTAATTTCTAAAACAATCCCTGTCCACCACCACCAATAGTAAATAGTGTTTGCCACGGCATCAAGTCCCAAAAGAGAATTCAAGTGGGCCCACATTCCTCAAAGGGGGATAAATAATTAGAATATGAGCAATTTGATTTTCGCATCCGTTGACATTTGTTGACTTGGTTACGTTCTGTTTGGTTTCTTCAATCTGAACACAGACTTTCATTCTCTTGACTCACGGAGTGCGCCTTGATAGATTCTCTCAAACCAAACATTCACCACATGGGTCACAATCACAAAGCAAACCACTCTCACACTCTCTCGTGTGCTCAGCTCACCTCTGTTTCTCTCTCTCGTGTGCTCAGCTAACCTCAGATTTGCAAACTTGGTCATAGAAAAAGAAAAATCCCATAAAGGGTATTGTAGAGGTGCTGTTTTTGCTATGCTTGGGGGTTTCAGGTGAAACCGTGAAGGGTTGGGTTCAGCTTTCTCCTTCTTCTTGGCATGGAATTGAGGAAGGAAAAGCTTGTCAGGTAAATTACCCACAATAGATTTTTTGTTAAAATTGTTTATCTATTTAGTTTTCCTCTATGTTTGGTTGCTTAGAAAGTGTAGGATTTTTGTTTTTGTTTTTTATTTTGTCTTTGAGATGAAAGAGCTGAAGAAATAGATAGGACTGAGCTGGGTAAATATGACAGAAAATACCTGCTAAAATTTTCTGGGAATCCCATTTTTCACTTCCCTCTTTTTCCAGTGCTTGTTTGGGTACTGAGAAAATATGATAAAAAATTTCTGGAATTCTTTACTATATGGGACCCGTGAAAACTATGGCTTTGCTAAACTATAATCCAGCTAAACTTATTTTGCTTATTTTTAGTCTGATGGGGCCAGTGGAAACTAAGCTCTTCTCAGTTAAGCATATAGTTTAATATGCTTGATTTAGGTAGGTCTTACCTATCTATAAACGGATACAACTTTCAACATCAGTTGTTGGTATCATTTTCTGGGAATTGTTTTTACCTATAATTATCTGTTTGTTTGTTCTGGAAATATGGACAAATTAATGTTTTCACTGATAGGGAACAGAGGACGAATTCCATCTGATTGGAGCCTGGGCCTACCACAGCTAATTTTTATGATTTGATCAGGCCTTGCCTTACTGGAAACCTTAACAGCATAGCACAGGAATTCCAATTTGTTATATGTTTCACTTTGTTTTTTTCATTTGTTTACAAAGAGTCCTTTGTTTACATCAATTTTGTTGAAACTTTTCATCACATTTCTTCAGCACGTAGGAACTATAATTAACTTTGAAGACTACCTTACTCCTGGAAATATTTTCTATTAACTCAATCTGAGCATCAACATTCTCTAATACTCTGCTCACCTTAATGTGGTTTAGGTTTTATTCAGATGAAAAACGGCATGAAAAACGGCATAAAGAATCTTTATGGGGAAGAAGAACTGAACCATCTCAGCTTGAAAAGTCATCATCTCAATATAAAGTTTCATCATCTTCATTGCTTAAATCTGATACTGGCCTAGTTGGGGCCAGAAATAGATTTGTTGAAACTTTCAGCATTGGGCATTCAAAGGTGTTTCCCGAAGACCATGAGCCTTGGCGCAAGAGGATACTTGACCCGGGTAGCGAGATCGTGTTGCAATGGAATCGGGTTTTCATTATGTCGTGCTTGGTGGCACTTTTTGTTGATCCATTGTATTTTTACTTGCCAATGCTTGGAAGGAAGGCAAACGCATTTTGTGTGAAGACAGATTTGAGGTTGCGAATTGTTGTCACTTGTTTCCGGACCATTGCAGATATCTTTTACTTTTTGCACATGATCATAAAGTTTAGGACAGCTTATGTTGCGCCAAGTTCTCGCGTCTTCGGGAGGGGTGAACTTGTCATGGACCCAAAAAAGATTGCTCAGAGGTATATTAGATCTGACTTCTTCATTGATCTCATAGCCACATTGCCCCTTCCTCAGGTATTTTTCTGGAATATAATTCTATGCAATTTTAGACATTGTAGATTTTCTTATTTAGTTGCTGTTTCTGTTTAGATTATACTGCATCAGGCAATGAGTGAAAGAAAATTGTGGAATCCTTCCAATGACAATGGCTCCTCAAGACCATATGAAGTTTGGGTTTCATTTTTACTTCTTTTTAAGATTCTATTTTTTAAAGAGAGAATATCTTAAAGAGCCAGACTAGCTGAGTACTACTCTATATATTACTGAAGTGATGATGAGCAGCAATAAACCAATCAGATATCGAAGTAATATTAATCTGAAGAAGGGTTTGTAAAGAAAAAGTGTGAAATTTTCAGATTAGTAAACAGGTAACTCACATAGTTTTTGGCACACCCAAATATAGCAAAATAGTTTAGCCTCCATAAATATGATAGTATAGAAGAAATATGATTTTGATTAGGATTGCTTTTTGGTGCATTTAAGTTAAAGGGAATGTGATTCAGTTGACGATATTGGGTTATTTTTGCTTTGACAGATGAATTACATTGTCAGTGATGCTTTAATCTTTTTAAGATTTGAGGAATCTCATGTGCTTTTAGGTCAATTCAACATTCTCCTTCCCAGTAAACTTTAGGCTTCTAATGTCCCTATCTACCTTATGAGTGAATATGTTTATTAACGCTCTTCGAGTAGAAGTGACAATTTGGGTTTCTGTGTTGCATTTGTGTCAGGTTGAGGAACATGAATTAGAATAATTGGTTTGACATGAACACGATACGATTATTAATGGTATGGAATGTTCTCAACATGAACATGACACGATTATTACACGTATAACACGAGCAACTTGCATAACCCCTTTGTTAATCAGCTTTAATTGAGCCATATTTTGGTGGACATGATGAACCTGTTTATTAATGCATTAATAACCCACCACTATTGAAATCTTACCTTTATCCTTCATTAACACTAGACTTAAAATATTATATTTAACATTAAAAAAGAAATATTTATTATTAAAAATCTTAATGTTGAATTGAATTTGTAAATAGGTTTTGACCATATTAAGTGGGTGATAGGTTTCACACAATTATTAGACGTGTCAACAGGACCTTAATATTCAACATGTCAATTCTTGATATTTTCGGGTTAGGCAGGTTGGCTTGAAACACAACTGCTTATTATATGTGTTAAACGGTTTGACAGTATTTCAATTTGAAGATGATTGTACCCAACCCAAAGCTGTCTAATTCGTGTCTTTATCATGATGTGTCAAAGATTGCCACCCACCCCTTTGTCTGAGGCGAGCTTTTGCAAGCTTCATGGATGATACCAGGCTAATCATTGGAAAGGTAGATTGTGAAATCTGGTTGAAATGTTTAGGTATTGGATACTGTCCATTCTACCCTGATAAATATGGGACGTTAAAAAGTAATGTCTAATTAAGTATTATTCTTCAAAGATGGAGATGGTGAATTACTTTGTTTAAGAGAAGACATTTAGTAGCCTCCTCATGTGTCCATAATGGAAGAAATGCTAGATTCAATAACATGAGATGACACTACAATCTACTTATTCCCTTTTCTTTGTCCTGACGTGTTAAGTTCATAGTTATTGTTGTAATATTTTCCTGGGTGAGAAAGGTGAAGTATATCTGATTGAAAAATCATGTGCAGATAGTCATCTGGTTTATTATACCAGCAACGAGAAGGACCCAAACAGATCATAACAACAATGCACTTGCCCTAATTGTTCTGCTCCAATATGTCCCTAGATTATATCTTATTTTTCCGTTAAGTTTGCAAATAATCAAAGCAACTGGAGTGGTCACAAAGACTGCCTGGGCAGGGGCTGCATATAATCTGCTCTTGTACATGCTGGCCAGCCATGTATGTATCTGCACTTGCTTCTCTCTCTCTCTCTCTCTCTCTGAGTTCGCGAACAAGATGCTAATCTATGCCATTTTACTGTTGTTGCAGGTATTAGGAGCAGCATGGTATTTGCTATCAATTGACAGATATACCTCATGCTGGAAGTCATTTTGTAAAAAGGAAGTAAGCTCCACAAAATGCTCGCTTTCTTATCTCGATTGTGACAATGTTAACAGCAAAGGTTACCAGACATGGGCTAATAATACAGAAGTGTTTGAGAATTGTAATCCTGCAAATAACACTTTCAAATATGGCATATTTGAAAGTGCAGTGGCAAAAAATGCTGTTTCCGCAAACTTCATCACAAAGTACTTCTATTGTTTATGGTGGGGCTTACAGCAACTAAGGTATGATGTTTTTTCTTTGTAAGGTAGAAGGGTCTGATTTCATGAAGATTTAGATGCCTTATTATTTCACACTCTAAAACCATCAAAGTGCTGGTTCTATACCTTCTGTCTAACAATATGTTTAATTTAATAGTAAATAGTTTATGCATTGATGGTATTCGAATAAAAAAAACAGAAATTAAACCTTGCCCACTAATAAACAATTGCAATAAACATGAGTGCAAAGTCTTTTAGGAGAGGCATAGTCAAAGACAGATTAATTCATGGTGGAGAAAAGGGGAAAAGTTATTGATAACAATGACCCATGGATCAAAAAAGGTTGATGGCTTCAGGCTCACAAGTTATTGATAATAACACTCCACTCCTGGAATTCTTTCGGACTATTCAAGCCTTGTATGTTTTGGCGGATGAAGTGCTTAAAAGGGTTTCCATGGTAAATCGAACCGGCAGGTTCCCGGTTAACCCAATTCAATAAACGAGTTTAGTGTGGGTTTCAGAACTATGATCTCATCCGTCGTCCAACTGTCACATGAGCATAGGCAGCTGCATGCATCTCTTCTGTGATTCTTGCTTAAAAGGTTTTAGTTAATGAATTGAGTACTAGGGTTGTGGTGGTAAATTAACCGGTGGCCAGCTGGTTCCCAGTTAACCCAGTTCAATCAGCCACTATAGTGTGGCTTTCAGAACTATGTTCTCATCAGTCTTCCAACTGTCACATTAACATAGGTAGCAGCTTGCATATCTTCTTTGATTTCTGGCTAAGGGACCATTGATAAGTGCACATCCTCGTTAAATTACTGTGCAATCTTAGGTTTCATATGGAGCATCATTGCATAACTGAACCAAACTGGAAAGCATATTGCATTGTTTAGTTAAACGATAAATGGCTGCGAATAAGAATTGACCTTAAGATGTGGAAGAATTTTAAGTTTCACTGAATTCGGTTGAAGTATGAAAAGATCTCAATGAAAATGTGTATTCTCTCTTACCCTATTTCTGTCCCAAAAGTAATTTCTACATATATCTATGTTTAATATGGTATAACTAATAGACAATCATAAGATGTGCTTTCCAAATATAGTATAACTAATAGACAATCGTAAGATGGGCTTTCCATGCTGGAGACATACACAACATGCTTTCACCAGGAATGTTTTTGTTTAGCTTGTATACTATGTTGCAGTCTAGTGAGAATCATATGCCTGGCATGCATTGGGAAAAAGAAAACCGAAATAAATATTATCAGTTTGATACTCTGTATTAATCGGTAAACAAGTGCTTCAGCTTTCTGGAATAGGCCTGCACCTTATGTATAGGGGTCAATGCCGATCTTACTTTGAAATATACAGCTTACTCATTGGTTCCTTGGTTGTATGCTCATTGATTGACAAGGATTGCTGCATGGTATTGGTAATATGTAGGGTTTAGGGTGTGGTTACCATAGGTGGTTGGAGCATATCTTATATGCCAATGTACTAACAGAAAGCTTTCTATAAGAAATGGCAGTCTCTTCATTTTCTTACTTCAGAATAAGTGCCACTTTATGATATTAACATTTTTTAATCTGTTAATAAATGAACAAAAATGTTTGATTGATCTCTTTGCATTCTTGTTGTCTCAGTTCATATGGGCAGAATTTGTCAACAAGCACTTTTATTGGAGAGACATCATTTGCCATTCTCATTGCCATTGTGGGTCTTGTATTATTTGCCCACTTAATAGGGAATATGCAGGTATTGGGAAAAGGCTTCTTACTTTGTTTCTTGCTTTTATTATTTCTTTTCTGCTGCTTGAAGTCTGTTGAGTGTTCCTTTTTGACTTTTTTAGTCATTAAATACATCTCTCAAATGATGTTTGTGGAAACTTATTAATTATTATTTTCCGGCTAGAAAGTTAAGTTTATACAGTATTACATATGATTATAACTTTCTCTGTTACTGATTGTTTCTGACAGGACATTCGTAGACTGGTAACTACATTTAGTTATATTTCTGATTCAACTACATTAGATTAATAATAATGACTGGTGATGCATGTTGAATTGATAATTTATACTTTGAGCTTGTCTTTAAATTGTAGACCTATCTCCAATCTATCACTGTGAGGCTTGAGGAGTGGAGGCTTAAGAGAAGAGACACTGAGGAATGGATGAAGCATCGTCAACTCCCTGAAGATTTGAGACGGCGTGTTCGACGCTTTGTTCAATACAAGTGGCTGGCAACTCGAGGAGTTGATGAAGAAGCCATTCTTCATGGCTTACCTGCTGATCTCCGTCGTGATATTCAACGCCACCTGTGCTTAGATCTTGTTCGAAGAGTATGATCCTCCCCAAGTATTTTTATTTTAGGGCTTAAAAACAACCTCACTCAATATCCTTTGTCATATTCTAACCAAAATAATGGGATCAGAGGATTCTCTGGGTGGTCTAGATGGGGCATGGAGCCATAGAGATCCTTTGGACTGCTATTTCTGGGTACCTCGTATATGCATGTGCAGCATGTATTAGAAGGCAAGCCTTATAGTTTGAGCACAACACTGCTTCAAATGGTCTGAAGGCTCCAGTTCCAATTTTATGTTGGATTATGGCCAAAGTTGATAGCTTACCAAGTTAAACAGGCATCACAGATGTAGTATACTGCCTATCAAAATGTCTCGAAATGCATGGGTTCCCTACACTTCTCAAGATTGATTTGTTCACTAATAAATGTGATTTGCTTGGGAACTCGGCCTAATTTAGTGTGAGCTATAACAACACTGCAAAACATGGGGGCGTAACCCCCTTGCAGTGTAATAAATTTGGCCAAATAACCGATATAAAACCTCAACGATTCCTATGCTTTGAAATGAAATGGTAATTACTTATGTGATCTTATACTAACCTTTATTTTCTCATTTCTCAGGTCCCTTTCTTCTCACAGATGGATGATCAGCTTCTTGATGCGATATGTGAGCGTCTAGTGTCGTCCCTAAGCACGGCGGGCACTTACATAGTCCGAGAGGGTGATCCTGTGACAGAAATGCTCTTCATTATTAGAGGTGCTCTGGATAGTTCTACTACCAATGGTGGCCGGACGGGTTTCTTCAACTCAATAACTTTAAGACCTGGGGATTTTTGTGGTGAGGAGCTGCTTGCATGGGCTTTGCTCCCAAAATCCACTGTTAATTTGCCTTCTTCAACACGAACAGTTAAAGCACATACTGAAGTTGAAGCTTTTGCATTGCGGGCTGAAGATCTCAAATTTGTGGCCAACCAATTCAGACGCCTGCACAGCAAGAAGCTGCAGCACACCTTTCGGTTTTACTCTCACCATTGGAGAACATGGGCAGCCTGCTTCATACAGGCTGCTTGGCGACGCCACAAGAGAAGGATGACAGCAAAAGATCTGAGCTCGAGGGAATCCTTTGCTTTGGATGAGAAAGTAGCCTATGAGACTGGGGAAGGGGAAGAAGAACATCTTTCTGTTGGTTCAAATCCTTCCCAGGGAAAAATGAATCTCGGGGTCACGTTACTGGCTTCAAGGTTTGCTGCAAACACTAGAAGGGGAGCTCAAAAGATCAAAGACGAGATGCCAAAACTACGAAAACCCGATGAACCTGACTTTTCCACTGAGCATGAATACGAGTAGTAGCCTAAATTAGGGTATGGGTGTAAAGATAGCTATAGCTTTTCCTGACAAGGGTGACACTCATTCATTTACAACAGAATCCTTTCAGATGGGGGACTGGGTATTTCGTGTTCCACACAGATTCCGGCTGATTGCAATGCTTGATATCATTCTCATCCTATTTATATCCTCTGAATCGATGTTGTGGGAAGAGATTGTCTTCGGAGCTTGGGATGTTGGAGAAGTTGGATTTTACTGGAACATGTATAAGATTGTATGCTACTCATGTGCCAATTAGTTGTTAGCTTAATCAGAGCAAGGCTTGTCCAAATCAATGAGCCAAACTAAAAAGGGTTGTCTTATCCAATTCCAAATAGAAGACTTCATGGCAGGGAAATTCTGAAAACTAGTCTCTCTTTTTTAACCTCATTGAGCACTTGGCCTTTTTTTAGAATTTACAAACATTTGCATCCGTGCCCCTCTGAATAATGCTCAAGGCTCCTCAAATAGCCCATATGGTTAGTTAATGTAATAGCATTGAAGGCCTTCTAGAAACGATTGCTGGGAAATTATAGTTCTACAAAAAGGGAACAAGAAGACCTTCTAGAGCAATACAGAGCCACTACATAGTTGAAAATGATTTTAGAAAATAAACTTAACAAGATGTTCATCAACTCATTCCATGTAGGCATATTGATCATCAACCAAAACACAAAAGTCAACTGAATTAAACTAAGGGAGATTCACTATGTTTAAATAGCTTAGGCACTAAAGTAGCATTGGGTTTAACACTCCCTCTTCAGTGTCGGAAACGGTATCACTGTAGCCAAACATTACTTTTACAGTTTTAGGACATGAGGTTATTTTGGTTTTTACTATATTTCGTCAGTTTAGTTTGTGATTAAGAGCTCGTTTGGGAGTGTGATAGGTACCAAAAACCAGAAAGAGATAAACTAAAATAAACGATTCTTCATTCATAATTCCAAAATGGCCAATGGCTTCAAACTAAATACACTCAGAGTGTGAGCTCACCAACGGTATTGCCTAAAGATATTGAAAGGAAATCTATAGGCCCACTAGTCAAGGATTCTAACAGAATGATTTTGGATAAGCGAGGAAAATCACTTCTCTATATAATCAATTTAGGTGGTTTAAAGTGATTTTATGGAGAACCCCCATAAGTATTTTGGCCCTCACATAATCACTCCCACACAAACCCTAAGTTAATTTGTAACTCTATTATCTCTAAGAGAAAGCAACTCTCTTGTAACATGTTGTATATCTCTTCTTCTTTATATCTTTCTCATCACATACTAACCACACAATGATATACAACATGTTACATGTAAAGTTATATACTAGGAGTGTTTGTGTAAATTATATAGGCTGGAAAACTAAAAAGACAAACAACATTTGTTTTTATATAACCGATATTCTATTTTAATCTAATCTAAACTACATGAAGGGATATTCGAACTCGGGTGTAGAGTGGGAGAAAGACTTTCATGAAACCAAGATAGCACTATTTTGTTATCCCGGTCAATAATGCTATGACAAGAGTGATAACACATCCACGTGGCATAACGTTATTGGTTCCAACTAAGTTGCACATCTGTTCTAGCCAACTTGACTAAGAGGGGTGTATTCAATTAGGATTCTGGAGCGTTTAATTTTTTTTTAAAATCCGGGTGTATTCAATTTGGATTTATACAAACTTTTAAAAAGTTTATAACAGTTTGGGCGTATTCAATCTAGACTTGTTTGAACTTTTAAAATGTTCATCTAAATGTGGGTGTATTCAATTAAGACTTGGAAAAAGTCCAAATAAATTTACCTGTATTCAAAAGGAGATAGATTTGGAAGGATTTAATTAAGTTTTGGAGTTTGGAGAATTTGTAGGGTTTAGGTATAAATAATAAAGGCCAACATAAGTCCAACCTCCACTCCAAAGATTTCATACGACGTGTTTTTTTTTCCTCTCTGTGTTAGAAAATTTTCCATCGTTTGGCAAACAACGCACTAAGCCATGCACTGACCTTGGGTGGTTACAAGCGTCTTGTTGGAGTTGCTTGGCGGAAAGATCATCTTGGCCAAAGTCAAGGCGGCAGAAGGTTGAGATATATTTCCATCACTCATAACACTACCAGATGATAGGGCCCTTGCTTTTTGGACAAAGGGTTTTTTTTTTTAAATTGAATTTTTGGACGAAGAGTTTGCTATTCGTGAACAAAATCAAAGGGAAATTTCTAACTCGTGGAAATTTCAAAGTGAAATTCATTGTTTAGGTATGAAAGTTTCCAACTCATGAAAATTTCAAAGGGAAATTCATTGTTGTGTACACAAGTAGAGGAAGAATTTGGAGAGGAGAAAAAAAAGAAAAGAAAGAAAAGAAAGGGATGGTTGACTAGTGGCTAGGTCAAGATAGTTTAAAGAAAATAGTGTTGGGAAGAAAGAGTGATAAAATAAAATGGTTGGGAAGTCTATGCAAATATATATGAATCTATAACAAAAGTTCATTCAAAAGTATGGAAGTAAAATCATATACAATCCTAATTGAATACACTCCCTATATAAAAGTCTATACAAGTTTATTAAAAATTCGAGTAAAACCTATAGGAGTTATTCAATTTCAAGAAATCTGTCACTTAAAAAATATATTTCAAAATTGTATACAATCCTAATTCGAGTAAGCCCATATTTACCTCAAATAACATTTTTCACTTGTTTGACTCATTTTTCACTTTGATCCATGTCACCTCAATTTTGGAAATTTTGATCACGAATCTTGTAAGTTAGCAGGTCTAACATCTTGAAAAAATTAACGAGCTTCTTATGTTTGGGTTGATTGCAAATATATGGAGGCAAAATTGTCATCTCATCATCTCATGTGATGGGTTACATATTGCAACGTCGGATTTCATCTATTAGTTTAATTTGGACTTGATTGCAAACTAAATCAAGTTACGAGATAAAAATTGAAATGATAGGACTAAAGTGAAAATTAGTACAAAAAATATAGAGTTGTGCTAAACGAACTTTAAAATTAACTGAGTACACCATATGATCTAAGTGCACCCTAATATTTAATTAAAATATAAAATTAACTAAGTACACCCTATTTAACTACCAAAAATACTCATGTTACATCCTAATACACTCTATCACACAACGCTCTAATACCAATCATAAACCAAATTTCTCTTTTTACATGAATTTGGGCCCCCTTTTCATATTTATAAATGTATTGAATTGAACTACAGACACAAACATTCAACTTATTATTTGGTTTCACAAGTTATATGAAGGGATTTTCATAGGCCCTTGACATATTATTTGAATCTAAACCAGAAAAGCTATGAAGGCATTTCCGATGTTTGCAGCAAGACTACAGCATACCCACATGGTCATGGATCTCTTCAGATAATCAATATTAAACAACCCATAAACTTCTCCCTTCGAAGAGCAAATTAAAACCAATTTCTAGAGGAAGGTTACAAAACATTTTAGCCCGTGAAGAAGAAATCAAGACAGTATAACCAATTTGATAACAAAATCAAAATGAGATTTACCAATACTAGACGACCACTGCGCCAGTATAATAGTACGGCGGCGGCGTTACTGTAACGGTGGAGAAGTGGATGGTATGACGACGGTGTTAGTGTGACGGTGGAGGAAATGATATTATGAAGGAGGCATTGCTATGTTCGGTGGAGGAGTCGTCGACGATGTTTCACAATTCAATATATACTTTTTGGCCATTTTATATTAGGGTAAATTAGTAATTCAATAAATAATTTGATAGTAGAGTGTACTCAGTTAATATTAGGATTCATTTAGCAGCACTCAAAATATAATTTGACGAAATTAAAAACATACTGAACTTCAAGGAGTGTTTGTCTATTTTACCCCGATAGGGGCTGAGTTACAGAACAGCTGTGAACTGACTCTCTCTCTCTCTCCCTCTCTCTCTCTCTCTCAAAGTAAGTCAAAGCCATCACACTCAAATTTATTTATTTTATTTTCATGCCATGGAAAATGCGTTAGGTACTCTACATACAAATTGGTTTGAGGAACTTGTGTGTATATTTCATGAGGCATTAGATTAAGATTAGATGAGAAAATGCGGGAAATCAGTGGGAAGCATTGTGTTGGTCCTGTTGCTCGCCTTTGTTTCTGTTTTGATCTTTTCAATCTTCATGTCTGTGATCTGAATGACCCACTATCTAGATTTGGAAGCAGTTTCACATTCAATTCCAGTCTCATATATAATGCCCACCACCTGCTTCACTCTTTTCACTTTTTTCCCACCAGTGCTCTATGACCCTGTAAACTCTCTCCTTTTCTTTTTTTTTGGGTTGGAAAATTTGAAATTATTGTTGGGATTATTTGGCTTTCTTTTGCTTATTTCATGTTGGTTTTTTTTGTTGTTTTTTTTTTTTTTTTCTGGTCATGTTATTTGATAATGCGTTACTGGCCATTACATTGATTTCTTACAAAGATGACAAAGCTTTTGCTTCCTGTTAGACTCATTGGTAACTATAAAATATGTCCATCAAATATAAAGATGATTAAGCTAGACCTTTCCCAATTATGTTGTTCCAGAATTTTTATTAACACGAGAATGTAGTGCTGAAAAATTATGCAGGAAGTTAGATAGAACATTTGCCGAAACCACGTTGTCTGCGCCCCCAAGTATGAGTATGAGGAAGGACAGTATTCTTGAGGGGCCTTTGTTAGAGGAATACACATTTGCTGCAAATTCTGCTCCTTTCAATAGCTGCCATGCATCTACCATTGTTGAGGTACTGCAGGACAAAATAATTAGAAAATAAAAAGTAAATATTTGTAGTTCGTTATGATTAGTAGCCTTTATTTTCCCCTGGAGAAGTTAACTAGACCAGTGCTTGTTTGTTGTTCGTATAGATTGATAAAGATCACTTTTTGGTTGCCTATTTTGGAGGTAAATCGGAGGGAGCACCAGATGTGAAAATTTGGTTGCAGACGTACAAGGTAAACAATACATACAATCCACAAGGGTTGCTCACTTTATGAACAACAAAGATGTACCCTTATTTTTCTTTTGTCTAGTTAATGTTATCTTTTATTTTTATATAAATTACAAAATGCACTGGAACGGAAGTTATCATTATCCCATTTTAGTCTAGTTGACTGACAGATTCATTCTTAAATTTCTTGGTAAAGTCCACATCGGACTTTTATATGAATTCCTAACACTAAGAGTAGAATTTTTCTGAGCAGAATGGCTATTGGCAGTCACCTGTCATTGCTGATGAACAACCTGATGTTCCAATGTGGAACCCTGTGCTATTCAAACTTCCATCAGATGAGCTGCTGCTGTTCTATAAAATAGGACAAGAGGTTCAAAAGTAAATTTGTTCTACAACTATCTATAAGCTTTTGCAGTCAAGTTTTATTAAAATCTTCAGTTTTGACTTTATATCTCTTTCTGAGTATGTCCCTAACTGTTTTGTATGTCTTTCTGAGAATGTTGTTTGGCTTATACCACACAAACAAACAGAAAAGGAAAATGAATGGGATTGTTCTACATGATTTGAAATCGTTGTCCATGTCGTGGCATTATATTTATTACTAGATGAAAATTGTTCATGTAGCTCCCAACTAGCTTAACTGGTCAAGTCTCTTGGCTTAGCACTAGAGACCTAGGATCAAATCGTTAATCCACTTAGGTCGGTAGCATTTATAGTTAGTGAAATGCTGCTGCCAGTACCCCCTTTTATAATCTAGACCTTAGACCAGAAGATTTCTTTTTTTCTGTAGGCAATGCTGCTGCTGTTGATGGCATAAAAGAAATGCATTTATGTCTGGGTGGGTGATGTTGTTGATGGGTGGCATAAAAGAAATGCATTTATGTCTGTAGGCAATGCTGCTGCTGTTGATGGGTGTTCATGCTAAATACTGTTAAAGAGCTAGAGGTATTAGTCTCATGAAGAATGTGCCTTTCGCTATTATTATGTTTTGTCAAACTGTTTTTGACTTTAAGTACCGACTGAGAACTGTCCTCTACTCTTTGATGGCCCAAGAACCAAAGCTGTTAACATGCTCTGATCACAGGGTCATGATTCATCCACCAGGTTTTGTTTCCTGTCAACTTAGAACTCAGGAGTAGAGAGTGGCAATCATATAGAAACAGGTCTTGTTCAACTAAGGCATAGTTTTTCAAATTTTTGGAATCTTCAATTTAGATCTTCAAGTCCACTATTCTTTTTTTATTTGGTTGGGAGAGAGGGTGTCCGGGTGAAGTGAAGCACAACGGAATCTGTCTGACAATGCAAAGATTTAGTTATGCATGCATTTCAGGCTTCCCATCTGTTTCAAAATGCCATTATTGATATAGATGAAAGGTTCTGACTTATCACCAAACTGGGCTGCAGAATTTTAACCTTCTTTGTTCTCACAAAACCGACCTAGTATAATTTATCCATTCATTACTAATTAAATCCTTCTTTTTTTCTTTTCTTTTTTTCTGATAGATGTTTTGTTTCCCTATGATTTTAGTTCAATATTAATGAACCCCTTTCGAATGTTTTAACTTAAGCTGCAACTCAGTTTCATATGGTCTCTTTATGATATCCTGTTAAACTTAACTATTAGAAAGAATTTAGTTTCGGCTTTGTATGCTTGGTGCATATTCTTGGATAAGTACTTTTTGTTATTACCATGGTTAGTTAAAACTTTTGAATTCACAAGTAATCATCTGTTCTATGTTTTATACTTATGCTCCTTAACATCTTTTCCGTGAAATGCAAACTCAATCGAACTAATGATGTTTTATATGCTTATTACGTTCCTTTCATTTGTTAGGTTCTTCTAACTTTCAGTTTGATGAATATCAGATGGAGTGGTTGCATGAAGCGATCACATGATAAAGGTGTTACTTGGACAGAAAGAGAACAACTTCCTCCTGGTATATTAGGACCAATAAAGAATAAGGTAGTACTTGAACTCATATGATAACTTTTGGTACATGTCATCACCGTTGATATTAAAAGGCTGCTTATGCTATATGTTCTGCTTTACTATTCTGCAGCCTATCTTGCTGGAAAATGGACTTTTGCTCTGTGGATCCTCTGTTGAAAGCTGGAACTCTTGGGGGGCTTGGGTGGAGGTTGTCACAGAAACTCAATTATGTAGGGCGGTTAACCTTTCGGTATGTTTCGAATGGCTGCCTAACATAAATGATTCAACAGGTCGCAACAGATTCTGTCAGGTCTTGGAAAAAGTATGGTCCTATTTACATTGAAAATGAAACTCTTAGTGTGATTCAGCCAGTTCCTTACCAGACTGCAAAAGGGACCTTGCGTCTTTTAATGCGATCCTCTGATCACATTGGCAGAGTTTGTATTTCGGAATCCTATGATGGTGGCCAGAACTGGAATCATGCAATACCTACCGAACTCCCCAATCCAAACTCAGGTTTATGGCTGAACTACAGTTCTCTCATTGTCGAAGGCAGTATGTGCATCCAAGTGTGATAATATGTTTACCTGGATTTTCAAATATCAAGTCCATCTTGTTCAAAATGTTTTCTGAACTTAGTATTGCATCAGGTCTTTTTCTGTTATTTTTGGTGTTTACTGTTTATTTTAAGTTATGGATGAACAAAGTTAAAAGAATGCATGTAACATGTATATGTTAATTGAACGCCTTTTTTTCGTCTTTGCATTCACATATTTAATCTTGGTTTACTCCAATTTTCTTATTAGGTATTGATGGGGTAAAGCTCAGAGATGGCTCTATTGTACTTGCTTATAATACAGTCTCAAGGGGTGTACTTAAAGTTGCACTCTCCAACGATGACGGGGATTCATGGCATGATGCTGTGACATTGGAGGAGAATTTGGGAATGGAGTTCTCATATCCCGCTGTTATCGAGGCTAGTGATGGGTCTGTTCACATCACTTACACTTACAATAGGACACAAATTAAGGTACCTCTTTGAATTTTGATATTCAATATGCATTTTAATAAATGAGATCCATGGTTGATAAAATATTCTTATATGATATTTTAACCATTCAATAAATATATGGTTTACTGTCTTCTTTTAGTGGGTGTTATTCTGAGATTCATGTAGAGAATTTCTCAATAGGACGTGTAATTTCTTACGTCATTTATTTTGCAGCATGTTGTCCTCAAACCAAATTGATGCAGTGACTCATGAACAAAGAAAACAAGAAGACATGGATAATTCTTTCTGCATTGCAGGCCACTTAGTGTCATTACATGTACAATACCATCACTTGTACTAAGCCCTTCGTGAACTTCGATTTTTTGAAGTATAATACCTATTTTGTGCAGCAATGAAGTATGGACTGTATCAAATATCAATCTTTAGCCTTCCCTTCTCTTCTTTCAATTTGGATTTTACTTGTTGAAGTTTGTTTGTGTTTAGGTACTTTCCTTGCTCTGGAAGTTAGTTAATTTAATTGTTCCGGTCTGCCCTTCTTTTCTTTCAATTTGGATTATACTTGAAGTTTGTCTGTGTTTAGGTACTTTCCTTGCTCTGGAAATTAGTTAATTTAGTTCGTTCCATCCGGCTTGTAGAATACCATCGGTAAGTTTTGCTCGGAATCCTTAAGATGTCATATTTAGTTCCTGCCAATAGGTTTGTTTCTATTGTTTATGACGTTACTACAATTGTTATTATCATGTACAATGTTTAATCTATTATTTAGTTGTACAGAACTGCCTTTCAAATTTGGTAGCTTGCCAAAACACTTGAGGATGCGATACTAATTTCCAGCACTCACATGATCGAATGGGTTTGTTTACTTTGTGAAGTATGCATAAATATAAGGGTCTCTTGCAATTTTCTTCTTGGGAAAAAATTCTCTTATCTGCAGAAACTGTTATCTTGAGTAACTTAGTACTAATACAAAAGGTAAAATATGTACAATGTTTGATGTCCTTAGTTAACAAAATAATTTTCTAATGCTATCTGCATTCCTGCTATCTATCATAAATTTCCACAAACAAGTGGAATTTCCTTTATTTATTTCTTTCTTTATATGTTAAGTTACCAGCAGAAGCAGGGATGTATACTTATCCACTGATCGAGAAGATTATTTAGAACAAGAAAACGTACTTGAAGTTTGACTTTGAACTTTTGTTTTTCTTCCATTTGTTTGAGTTATTTGTTAAGGACAGCAAAATCAAGTTTTTCCCTTATTGACAGATCAATTTTCCTTTTTTTTTTTCCCCCCTCGAGATACAAGCGATATTAGGGAAGGGGGAATCGAACCTAAGACCTTGGGTGCAGAGATATATCCCTTTGACGACTTGAGGTAAAGTCCCTTACTACCGGTCTAACTTTGAGTTTTGCGCATTGTATCATTCCTAACAATTGGTATCAAAGTTAGCACCATGTTCAAGGTTCGAGTCTTGTGATAGGCAGCGTTGGTGGAGCCATGTAGGTTGGAATTGGATTGGGCCTTGTGGGTCGGCGTGGGGATTGGATGAGCTGAGACTTTTTAAATTTGGGTGCTTTTGTTGAAAACAGTTACCTTAAAAGTAGTCTCCTCTTTCAAAAAAAATATATTGGAAGAGGATTGCCAATCTTTGGTGCAAGAACCAACTGGTGTGGAGAGTATTTTTACTCACCACTCTTAATCAGTAGTGAGCATTACCACCATATTAATGGCCGTTGTGAGTTGAATTTTTGAGATTTGTATAATATATAGATTATATCACACTCATTCAACGACAATTAATATGTCAGTAATGTTCACCACTATTTAAGAATGGTAAGCAAAAATGTTCACACTGGATTGGCAACACACTGATTCTTGCTAGTGTTATGCAGTCAGACTAATGGTATTATCTTGCTGACTAAAATGCAGGCCAAAAAACAAGAAGTTTGGTGATTAAACTTCTTTGGTCGGTGTCATATCTCTATGTGCTCCAGCTTGCATTTCATGGGTCACATTGAATGCCGTAGCTCTTCTCTACCATTATTCATTTCACACACTCCTCTTGTCAACCTTTCTCCACTATGCTTATGTTTACTTGCACCAAAGCACTCAAATTCATTGTACCAAACACACAGAAAACCCAAGTGTACAACCAAACAAGAAAGGGCGGTAGAAGGTGGAACATAATTAATGATACGCTTATTTTTGCGGGTTTATAGCATTAGTGGTAAAATACTTTATTCATCAGTCTTTTTGCCATTTTTCTAGAAGATGTTCTAAGGCCATGTCTATTCTGAAACCCAAACTTTTAGACTCAAATTCAAACTTTTGGATCCAATTGTGGTGGTGGGTAATAGCCATTAACTTCTTTGCTCCAATGTGTTGGACTTTTTTTTCAGTGGGGAAATCATTACCCTTTTTTTTCTTTTCTTTTTTCAGTCTCTCTTTTAAAACGCCTCACAATTCACTTGGTTGCTAACTTCAGTTACTAGGTTTGTCTGCACGGGCCTCACAATTTGGAACCCTAAACTCAATTGCACATTTAGATGGAAATGCTATAATGAGGGGGTTTTTGGTGAGGGGTTTCAACATGGGATCCATCCCACCATCCAACAAGAGAGAGGAAGTGTTAGAAATAAACTTTTTAAATGAACGAATGGTGGGATGGAACCCCACATTGAACCCCCTCATTATAAAAGCTCCCTTTGTCTTGGCTCGGAAGAAAATTTAGAGACAGGGTTTTTTTAATTCCACCATGCCCCCCTTAAATGTAAGAGGGAAGCAGGACCAAGAAATTAAAGAGTTATTTGTCCAAGAGCAATACAACGTATATGAGGATAACATCACCACGCTCTTCCCAATTCTATATTCAGATTTACACCCAATTCTCACCTGTAATTTATTTATGCTCCCCCAACAACAAATAACATCTAATGAAATCCCCAAAGAGAAGAAAAAAGATCATATTCCCATGAAACTTCAACTGAAGCTCGGCGCCAATTCCGGGAGTTTGCATGTTTATTTCTAGAAAACTCACCTTCACTTTTTGCATTAAATGTGAAACCCTTTTTCTTTCTGTCATCTGAAAGAAACTTTTCCGACCCATTTATTGTGGAACATAAAGAAAGTTGAATTCCATGCCCTGAATAGAAGAAAAGAGAGGAGAAGAAAAAAGGAGAAAAGAATCCAAAAGCCCACAAACAAGGCCTAGAAAAAGTCAAGGGCATGGTATCATAGAGCATAAATGCATAGTCAATTTTGTAGGGTTATCATGGTGAAAGAAAAAGTTTCTTTTGATCTTTGCCCTCTCTGAATTTCTCGAAAGTTGCTGTCAAAAAGATGTAAATCCTGGACACAAAAGTGACATGCTTGCTTTCTCTTCTTTATTGGAATGTCATGTAAGTTTCTAAATCAGTCAGCTTTTTGTTCTCTGTTTACAAAGCGCATGTTTGAGCTTCAGTAAAAGCAGACCACCATCACCTTTCTATCTCTATCTCATACACAGAAAATCTAAGTGCTGGATTTCTTGGTCACTTTGCAACTCTATTTTCTTGGGTTTTGTAACTGTAGGAATGGGTTCTCTGTTTTTGCAGCTTTTAGTAGGCGTTATGCATGTGGGGTTTTTTTTAACTTTATCTTTAGTTGTTTTGTCTTTACGTTGTGCTTGTTTTTACCTATGTAATAGCTCCCTCAGAATCAGAATCTTTCAGCCTTTTTTTTCTGCGATCCCAATGTTTTTACCCTAACATAAATCCTATATAATAAATCTTAAATCTAAAAGGCTTAACCCTTCAGAGCATCTCTACTGTTCGAGTGCAAATTACAGATGTGAAAACGACAAGAGTGCTAGGCTCTGATACCATGACAAATAAAGTATGTGTAAATTTTTAGATATGTATTTTCTTTAATATGAAAGTATTTCTAAGGGTTAATTTCGGTTTGGTACTGTAGAAGTATATATTCACAGATTCTAGGTCAAATTTAGTTATATACCCAATCTTAGATATAGTCTTATAAAGAAATCCTATACCATTTAAAAATTATAAACACACCAAAAAAACCCTCAAAAATTGACAGCTGTCAATTTTTTAAATTTAATAGCTATTTTTTAGTTTATTTGTGTGTATAAAATACATATATTGCCCTTGTACTATGGATTTGAGAGAGAAAAATCAAATCTGCCCAGATCTGTCCAAATCTGCCAAAAAACCAAATCTGTCTAGATCTACCAAAAAAACCAAATCTGCCAAAAACCCAAATATGCCAAAAAACCCAAATCAGATTTATTTTCTCCTTTCTCGATGTTGGAGCAAGAGGAGCTTCCATTGAAGCTCAATCTCAGGTCCAACTATATTCTTCATCTCTCATCTACAATTTTCAATATTTCACCTTCGATTTCTTGTTCTAAAATCGTGCTTCAATTGATTTTTTTTTTCTCAAATTGTTTGGAACCTTGAACGAACCTCAATCAGATGCTCATAGCTCCACTCCTCATCTTCGAGCTCTACTCTTCTTTCACCACATCGTTATCATCATCATCGTCATCTTTATTGTCGTCGTCGTTGTTTGGTTTGGACTTTAGATTTTTGATCTTTTGCTTCAATTATGTGTTTCTCTTCATATTTTAGTTGATTTTCGAAATGTATTTTAAGCTTTGATGATCGATTTATCATTTGTTACTATTTCAGTGATAGATCTTATTTTTGTTTAACAGTGTACTTCTATGACAGAGTATTAACAATGTATTTTTATGCCATAATAATATTAACAATCTAAGCTCGGCTTGTTTTGAGTTGGTCTGGTTTGTTCTTTCTTCTTTTCTTTGGTGAACATGTATTAGAAATAGCAACAAGACAAGCATTAATCAACATGACAATAAACTAACAGTGTTATTACTTTAGACTGGAACATTACAGGGGTAGATATGCATTAGAAATAGAATGTCATAGGAAACTAGTAGTGTTATTACCCTAGAAATAGGATTTCATAGGAAAATAGTAGTGTTATTACCCTAGATTGGAACGTTACACGAGGTAGACATTCATTAGAAATAGGGTGTCATATGAAACTAATAGTGTTATTACCATATATTGGAACATTACAGCCATTAATCAACATGACAGTAAACTAGCAGTGTTATTACCCTATGCTGGAACATTATAATCATTAATCAACATGACAGTAAACTAGCAATGTTATTACCCTAGACTGGAACATTACAAAATTACAGTGTTAT